TACAAACTAAGAGCCAGAGATGGACTGTATTTGCAGGATTAACTGTATTTCAAATTCTACACATAACAATAGGTAGAGCAACTTTGCATATTACTTCCATAACACTTTCCTCTTTTGCTAAACACACACAAAGAAGCTCTATGTTAGCTGGTGTGGGTCTTCCGGGCTGTGTGGCCGTGTCCTGGAAGTTTTGTTTCCTAACGTTTCGCTAGCATCTGTGACCGGCATCTTCAGAGAGCAGGAGCACAGATAGGAGCAGTTCTCTCTGTGTTAGCTCTGTGTTAGTTATGAAGCAGTCAAATGGAGCAAAAGGAGTTAAGAACAAGATGGTACATTTATTATTTCTTGTCTTTATTGTAAGGTAGCAGCTCTGCTTTAAATGGAAGAAAACAATTTGGATCCTGTACACTATTCAAGATGCCACAGACTGGACTTCTTTGCAAATCCAGTATCATAGATATATAATTAAAACAAAAAACGCTTGTCAAATTATCATCTATTCCACCAAAATCAAAACTTATGAGTCTTTTTTCTTTAAAAAATATGTGTTTAGTTAACAATTGCTAACAATTTATTTATGAGTTCATTTTTAATCAACAGTTGTTCAAACCTAAGTTCAAAACCATTTTCTAGCAAATGCTCTTATAAATAGCGCTACCTTTTTATCTAGCGCTGTTCTTCACTGCCCTTGCAACATTCTGCAGGCTTTTCTATTCTACTGTAGAATCTCTTTACAAAATCACAGTCCTAGCAATTTAAATCTGTCTTAACACATATGGGACAGAAATGTAAATGGGAAGCAGAGTTTCTTGCTCTGTAAATGACCTGGCAAAGCCTTGACCTTGAACACTCCCTTCGCAAGGTGTCTTTTTCTCTTTTGTTGCTCTAAGTAATGAAGATGTTACTTCTCTACTTCCCTGGATCTGCTGCAATGATTTGGTCCTGATTTCTTCTTCAGGATCCTGCAGTTTCCTGAATTAGGACATCATGGAGGGGAATAGAATGATCTGAGGCTTATGCAGGCTAATAGAGAGAAAAGGGATCCATGGTCTCCTCTTTAATCTGAACTTTGTAGTCTATATTGGTTTTGAAGCAGAAGAAACTGTATTTGCCCATCTATCCCAATACTAGCTACTATGATTGTTAACAGCTTTAAAGAGTATAGAGGTCTTCATACTACTTGCTTGGAGTTGTCAGGGCTGGAACTTGGTTCTTTTATAGCAGTATTTTGCTCTCAGGACTTTCCCACTTTTAAAAATTTTGGAGGACCCCAAAAGAGCTTTCGTTTGTATGGTTTAAATTTATTAATATGAACTATATTAAAAATCAAAACTAATGCATCCATAGAATATTTATTTACTGAGTCATGTAAAAATAACAATATTAAACCCATTAGATAGTAACATATTTTTTCATAACAAAACCCTATATTTTTTAACAAATAAAAAATACTAATGAGAAGAGTGACATGGTTTTAAATTTTTGCAAATATCTTCAATATCTGGCAAATAATTTCAGTTTCACAGACCCCTGAGAGAGTCTTGGGGGAAGCCCAGGGGCCCTTGGACCACATTTTAAGAAATCCTCTGCACTTATTCTAATCCACCTAAATGCATGGACTTTTATAATATTATAATATGACTCTCAAAAGATCAAATTAAAAAATATTCTCTTTATTTGTTAGGTTAATATCCTGCCCTTTCTCCAGGAGTTCAGGGCAGTGTATACAGCACTCTCTTCTCCTAATTTCCCTTTTGTGAGGTTGGTTGAGCCAAGAGAGAGGGATCTAGCCTGTGATGTTACAGTAGGCAAAAAGAGTGACATAAATTATTGCAGAAATTGCCAGCTAAAAGTAACTGCAATGTCATAGCTCTTCAGCCTAGCAATGGCATAGCAGTTTCAGGGGAATGGCTGGCTGGTGCTTATTCTTCTAAAGGTGTTTGTCCCTAACTTGCCACTTGAAACAATTGCCCCCAAATGCAATATTCATGGATTAGATGTGCAAAGAACAATGTGATCGCTGCTTGAAACCTAATGGTGTGGAAGCTGTTTCATGTCCTTACTTTTTTGAATAAAGCAACTTCCTCTACTACTTCAGTAATTTCAGTTATGCCAACATAAACTTTGCACCCTGTAGAAACAGACCCATTTCCTTTGCTGGGATTTTGCCATGGGTCCCTTTGTATCTATACGTAACTTTCAATTTTTATCCATATTTAATTGCCCCAAACACTTACCATGGCACATCCTTTTAAATCAACAAACCCAATGTACTATACAGTTAAATTACCTGGTAGAAGAGGTGCTTGGTAAAGATCTCCTCATTGCTCCTGGGCTCATGCTGTAGTATGAGGAACTTTCCAAATCTGAGAGTGAGAAATTAGGACCTGTTCCTGCAGCTATTGGTGCTGGGAAAACAAAGGAAAAAAGTCAGGAAGTCACGTGAAAAACGATCACTTTCATCTTAATGAGTTTACCCAACATGCAGACAGAAAGGTATGAGATAATTGGCACTATAATCATTAATGCATTTTTCATTGAATCTTTTCTTTGAAAATATTTTTTCCTAACATTTCCTAATACTTCCTCTCTTAAATACTATATTAATATTGCTTCTTCTGAAAGTTTTTTCTCATGGTTGATACACTCGGTAACTTCACAAAATTTGTCAACCAATTCCCACTATTTATTGTCCTGTGACATTGTTATGCTTGTAATTTGTAAGTTTCTCTTGACCATCACATGCATACAATGAAGTTATTTATTTATATATTTACAAAAATATTACTAACTCCTTTCTGTACATTGTAAAAGAATCCAGGAATCTATTGTTGTCAATAATAGGGATTTGGTATCCACATAAGAAGTCACTGAAGCTCTGTTCAGTTAAGCATTACACTACGTCACACATGTATAGATAGTTAAGACAGTTGTTGAGAAGAATCCACTCTTACCTCTTATAAAAAAATTATATTTTTTCAAGACTTAAGACTTCCATCATTGGGTATATTGTAAAGGGATTTCAATCATTGCAACTAAGAGCACTGTGTGAAACTGTGGTTATTCAATCATAGGTACTTAATAGTGCTTATTCACAAATTCATATTCATCACTCTGTATATCACAGGCATCAATGGGTGCAAATCAAGTTATACTTTCAGCTATAATTATTTAGGGGTTTACAGCTACACATTCATTACTGAATGGAGCAGCTTAGAGTTATAGCTACATACTGTTCTGGGCACTGGATCTAAGTCACACCATGGGCAGCCAAACCATGATTTGACATTACATGTGAAACAGTTCTTCACAAAAATAGCAATATGCAAGTATCAATAAACCATAACAGCCATAACACAGAATATTTATCAATTTAATCCATTTCAGCACAAGTATTATATATCATTTAAAATAAATGAAATGTTTCAATTATACTTTTGCATCTCTCTGATGAATCCTGACACAGGAAAAGTGAAGCTCTCAGCTCTATTGCAAGGACAACTGCAAGATTCAACACAGACTATAGGATTTGTTCCAGATCTAGTCCTAGTCATATAGCACCTGTAAATGATGCTGTGTCAGTGACGCTAACGTGTAAAGGCATATCTATCAGTCTCCCTTCCGAAGTAGTGCACTATGCACCCAATAATACTAAGAATTACTAAGAGTTTAACATTTGACAAGTAAGAAAATTATCCAATAAAATTAATTGATGAGAACTAGATAACAGTAGCCACTATATTAAGATCAGCTTCTGCAACAATGGCATTTACAGCTTAAATGCACAGATAATATGCATTAAAATCCCTTCCCATTCTGGTGAAAGAAAACAAGAAATGAAACTAGCATGGCCTTCCTTGGCAGAGCGTTGCAGGTCCAAACCCCCTTGAGAACTGGAAGAAAATAAGGTTCTGCTCAGGAAGAGAGAGTTCTAAAGAATAATTGCACCAAAACTTCTACTCCTGATAAATACCACTCTTAATAAATTCTATGAATTTCCTATACCCATTTTAATATAACATCACGCTGTATTTTTTTTTTCTTTGTCCTCAAAGGCTTCTCAACTGCTAACTTAGAGGTGAACGCTGCTCTTCTGATTCCATTCGGTCTACTCTGACAAAGGTTCCCCAGCGCAGGGATGACCACCTGCAGATTGCTTTTGCAAGTGTGTATCTATTCATGCATTCTGTCAAACCCTACCCCTTTTTTTCCCAAACAAATCTCATTACCACAAAACACACTCTACTTGTAATGATGTAACTGTTTTTATTCACTGTGCTCTCTGGCTGCAAAAATGGGTTATCACAACCTGAGGTCCTTTCCACTAGAGATGCGATGGAATAAAGATGGGACTTTGGACTGGAAAGGATGGTTCATGCTCTAAACTACAATACATGAAGTAGTGGATAGAGTCTGGCTGAAGCATACAAAAACAGGCTGCAAAAGGAACAAAGTCCTTACACTGTTCCCTCATGTCTGCTACAAAATACTGCTGAATTCATGTGCCCTGATACAATGCATTTTAAAAGCACAGGATAGAAAGAAAAAAAGAATGATATTAAAATGGGAATCAATCTGTCATGATCTTTGAAAGAAATTAACTTGGAAAATAAACTTATTTACCATTTAACTACACTATGTTTCCTGTGTGATCGGTGAATGAAGTTAAGAAAAAAAAAAGCATTGTAAAATTAACTCATTTTATCAATTTATGCTGTCTGCTAGAGTTTCCTGATACAGAGACAAGGGGCTGTAAAACTAATAAATTTGCATGGAAAAAGAAGCCAGTGTAAGTAATTTGTGTAAAAGGTAATGGAGACATGGACTGCTATAATTCAGACACCCTGCAGATAGCAAACTGCTGCAGTAAGAACAGTGATGGGTTAGAAAAATGACCACACTGCAGTCAGTCTGACTTAAATGGAAATCAATCATAAAGGTACACTCTGCAGCATCTACTTTATAGTTTTATCAACTTCTTGGCCAAACATCCTTGTGTTTTAAAAACCATTTCCTTGATAAATTTTCTTTCATGCAAGACCTATAGAAGGTCCAGTTGAAAGATTAATCATGCATCCTAGAGCCAAATCATACTCTATCTTTTCTTTATCTTTTTTCAACAAGAGACACGCATCAATAAAAAAGTAATGATAAAAATAATAAGAGGAGGGGAAAAAATCCATACATTTGATGATGCTGATACAAACACACGTGTGCATACGCTGATGGATGCACCACTTACATCTCAAGAGTTCCTTTTGGAAGATGGGCAGCCATATATAGTAAGTGTGTTTAAATTAATAAATAAATAAATAAATAAATAAATGCATTTAACTTTAAAGAAAAATGCAAAGATTAAAAAAAATCCATATTAAGTAATGACTTTTGCACATGCCCTGTACCAATGAAGCCTATTAGGGAATACTTTGTTAGCATAATTAAAAAACAGAAAGGAAATGTAAATAAATCAATAATTATTGAAGACTTCCTTAAGATTCTTCATTACTATGCTGATTTTTTAGTAGTGTGTACTTGAATTCTTGAATTCCATACATATTTATAGACCCCCCCCCCATTTTTGTCATAAAAAGATAATCCCGGGTGGGGTTCTAAGGCGCTGTTATTATCTCTTTATATAGATATAATCTTATTTATATTCCCCTTATCTGTCCATAGAACACTGAAGATGACTTACAGCAAGAAAAAACAGAAATAACAAAATGTATGAATAAAAACAATATAATTAAAATAAAGGCAAAATTAAAATGTATCATATCATTACATTAATTAAAAATATATATTTCAGTTTCCCAAAGTTTTGCCAAGTTTTTCTTGTACCAACAGAGAAAAATGAATTAATTTATTCTGTTGCATACAGGCATTACATGGAAAGTAGTATTAACTGCCAACAGTTGTGAAATAATTTTCTAAATTTTCTTGCCCAAATAAATAAATAATGAGCATTGCTGCAAGGGATATTAATATGTACGCATCTGACTACAGCTCCTTCAGCACAATCTAGAAAGTTTTGATTGCTATAGTAATTTTAGAAGGGTGAAGCGCCATCTATTAATTGCTTTTATCATAAATTCTTGATGACCTCTCAAAGAAGGATTGAAGAAAATTTTGGGGTATTAAGAACTCCAAGCTGATTCACTGAGTCCAGATCCCAAATCTTCCCATACTGGATCTAACAGTTTTGTATAGCCTTAAAGAGATACTTCAATATGCATCATTCTTCACATATTTTATTATCCTAATTGATGAAACCTGCTAAGCTTAAAAAGAAGAGGTTCAATTTATGTCACATGAAATCAGGTCTGAATTTGTGATAAATTCTACTGCAAAATGTTTTGAAAAAACATAATAAAATCTCTGATACTAAATAGTCTTTTATGTTTTCATTTCTTATGTCAGCCATATTTATCAAAGTGCTCAGGTGACTAAGGAATAGAAGAGAAGAAGCAGCAGCCAGAAATTCTTTCCACCTTTTCCTGATTTTTACTGAAATTTCAAATAAGGACTTTACTACATAAAAGTATATTATACTGCTTTTCATCATAAAGAATTCCAAAGCTTTGTTCAAATCTACCAAAAAGCAGAACTGGAATCCCAATTAATTTAAAAATAATTAAAAACTAAATGTTAAGGAGTTCATGGCTGGGGAAGGCCAATCTAAAAAAGGTTGAAAAGCCTAAATAGGTCAGCCTTACTGCCTGGCATACAGCAGAGGAAAGATGCCTGAAAGTTGCCATCGCAGACAATGTGCTTCTGGGATGACAGAAAGCAGAATTTCAAAACCCACAGCACACCCAAGCAGGGCTTCTCATTGAACAGTGTAGATGCCTGGAAGGATGATACAAAGGGGGATGTTCTCTGAGGTTTCTTAACATTTAGGAATAAGATTTATTGCCCTATAAATTGTAAGGTCCAGTACTAACTTGAATTTTATTCCCTGAATATTTCTAAATTCCTAATAATATTAATTGTCTTACTATATTTACTTGTTTCCTTGAGTGATTTATATGCTACTCAGTTCCGAACAGGGTCTGAGGCTCTTACAAATGATGCAAAAGTAAAATAGAAAGAATTTAAGGATAACAACAACAATTTCCAAAACTCAAAAAATCAACTTCTAGCCAATGACATGCTGAAAAAACACACACAAAAAACCAGTCTTGGCCCTACTAATTAACCCTACTGCTTGGAAGAGACCTGTCATACCATAAAATATCAAAATATTAGAATATTTTTTTAGAATTGTTATGCCCGTAGATCTACCAATAATTTTATTTATATTACATGATTTCCTTACATCCAACTTTTTAAATAACTGAGTAAAAATAATTATTTACCATATAGCCATTGAGCCACCCAATAAGCAAACCTCATATTTTAACTTTTCTCT